TCTCCTATTGTGGAGGAGCATGCTGCAGTGCAAGGGGAATGTGGGCGTGAGAGCGTGAGGAAAGCTGTGTGTTGGGGTCTGGTAATAACCCAAGTCATGAGAATTTCTGGGGTGGTGGGCGGCGGGCAGCACGTTGTGATGTGTGGAGTATCTGTGGGAGCTCCTCTGTACTGTAGGGTGGGAGAAATATGCTGCTCTCTTCAGAGGAATGGTCTCTCAAAGCTGAGACGACGTTTCCAGTCTCCAAGCACTGTGCAAGGGCATCACTTCTTTGTTCATAGAATGCTGAGGGACACTGCAGACAACTGGTTTCAGCTCTCAAGCAGCCTGTGTTCTTGGGTGGGAGTGGCTCTGGGACAGCTCTGCAATGGAGAACCCCTGGAAATGGCTGGAGACTGCTTTGTCCCCAGCTTTCTCCTCTCCTGATCGGGGAAACAGTCACGGTGTATGCCAATCACTCCAGCAGGTCCTAAGCATTCACCTCACGGCAGGCGTCCCCATCCAGAGGCGCTCTGTAGCCCTCCTTAGGCAGAAACAGTTGTGCACTGGTAGCATCCAGAACACGAGCAGTGATCAAGTCACTCCGCAGTTTGTGCTACTGGGCCCCCTTCTGCTAGAAGCATCGTTGGTCTCTTGCTGTTTTGCTGTCTGTAACTGGTTACCTCCCAATGGCTTCTCTTCTCTTCAGCAGTACTCTGTGATTGACTGAGGTGTCTCTTTGCAGGATTACGTAGATGCTCCATTAAGTATCCCAGTGTCTCTGACTCGGTCTTTGAACATTGACTGGAGCGAGTACCAGGTGAGGAGTGGGGTGCTCACTGGTGAATTCAGAGTAAGGCCAGAAGGGGCCATTCTGGTTCTCTAGTCTGTCCTCTTGCATGGTGCTGGTTGTGCAGCATCACCCGGTGAGTCTGGGTGGCAGGTTTAGCTGCATGCTCTGCTGGGATGGCTCCCCGGCGGCAGAGCTCTGCGAGTAGGAACATGCTTGTCACACAAGAGCTCAGATCGTGAGGCTGTTGCTCCCTGCATCTAAAAGCAGGGAGCTGCACGTACAGAATGAGCCCTCTCATCACTGCAGGTGAGGCAGTTCCATCCAAAATGCCACTGCCCAAATCCTTTCCTGCTTCTTGCTTCCAAGCATGGTCCTCTATGCCTCCCGCCCCATCGGTGTTGCTTCACTGGGGTCCTCGCATCTGCATTTGCTCTTGCCTTCAAAGTGTGTGCGCTTGTGTGGCCTCCTTTTGTGTCCCCACCACTCTTCCAGTGACTCCAGCCTCCACTTCCTTTTCCTTTTCTCTCCGGAGCATCTCCATGCTGTCCTGTGTGCACAGAATCGCCTTGTGGAACCATCCCTCCACCTTTGTCTGGTCTAATCACTCCAACACCCCCTTGCAGTATTGCCTAGCAGCTGACTTACCCGCTAAACCAGAAATATCGCTAACATGGGGCATTCCTGGCCTCAGCCATTTTGCTTGCCTGCATCGGTGCCATTGCAAATTAAGCTGGGCAGTGGGGAGACAGCAACGTGGCTGCCTGTTTTCTAGATGGGTTCCAAATCCCCAGAGAAACAGGCAGTTCTGTTCTAACATGCCCCATGTTGTTACTGTCCCTCACACACCGCTAACGAGGCCCTTCTTGGATTTGAAAACTACACCCCTCAGTTTCAGAGTAGCCAAATAGTAGCTGCAGTAAATTACCCAATCCCAGCTATACAGGCCTAGCTTGTGTAGGCTCACAGGGTGGGTTCGTGGAGTTATGCCTGTGAAAGGAACGCGAGACCTGCCTTCCCCAGAGAAGGTGTTCCCGTTCGACGGATTGCTGAAGCGATGATCCATCCTGCTCCATAGAGCCCTCGAGGTGCGATTGTTCAGTTTGGTGATGGCCTGCGAAGATGGAGTACATACAAGTGATTGTAAAATACATGCCACGCCATCGCGTCGCTGGCATAGCCGGCATTTCATCCTGTTCTATTGATACATCACCAGCAAAAAGCAAAATCTGGGCCAAGCTCCTTAAATGCCAAGTGTTGCGCGCACGCCCTACCGCGCTCGCTAGACACTTCCAGAAGGAGCGTGCCTTCCGTGGCACTTCTGGACAGATTTCACTTGCTACTGAAAGATTATCAGCCAGGGCTTCTTTCCTTCTGCCCTTCACGGTGCCAGGTGAGTCAGTGCTCTTGGTTCAGACCTGCAGCGGTGTCTGTAGTCAGTTCAGACAGGAACATGGACAACTCTCCACCTGACCCGTGTGCTCCCCTCATTCACTACTGCAGCAGCAGGGCGAGTTACCGCTGAGGCTCCCACGGCTTCCTTAGCACTGGCATTTCCACGCTGCATTAGAGCGCAGCGGCACTACAGGCTGTCCCACTTCGCTTCCTGACCTTCCGCAGCTCCCTCAGCCGCTCCGGTTTTCCATGGCAGTTGTAGTACGGAAGCGCCTGGCACACTCCATCCTCCACTGCTCACCCTGGAGAACTAAGAGGCTCTCTCAGCCTCTCAAAGTTGGTGCCATTATTTGTCAAAGGATCAGCAACGAAAATATTAAAATACCAACATAAACAACATGAATCAAAAGTAACCAGCAATCTCAGAGCGGAGCCAGTCAGAGCACAGATGCCCTGGAGCACAGCCGACTCTATTCATCAGAATACCCGGCACTCTGGGAATCGCTCACCCCAGGTATCCTGACAAGATTCGGGGGAGAGCAGGTGAAAGGCCCAACCTAAAATGTTGGGAGGACATGTGCCCCTGCCCCCTAGGCATATGGTGTGTCCCTTTCCTCCACTTACCTGTTTCTGAGATTGCAGGCTTTGCAGAGCAGGGCAGGTGTCTTTGTACGTCTGACCATCACCGAGCGCTTTCGGGTGCTACTGCAGTGTTCTGTCCCCTGCTGCTGGAGCAGGGCTGAGAGGAGACTCCATTCATTCACTGGCAGTGGGGAAGATTAGAAGGCTCGGTTGCCTGCACCTTCCATGCCTTCCCCAAACGCAGCCTTGCTGGGGTGGTGAGTGCGGGCTGCCGAAGAGGCAGAGCCCCCTGCAGTCAGTCACCACTTGATGGCCAAATGCTGATGGGCTGTGATCGTGCTAATAGGGCACTGGAAGGGTTTTGTTTAGGAAGGTAAAATATCTGCTTCCTGTGACCCTTTAGCATTTGAGCTCTCTGGATTTAGCCACCCTCCTGTGCTACTGCTGGGAATGCCGTGGCTCCAGAAGTCTGTTACCTGTCTGTGGAGCAAGGGGAGGGGGTCACTTAGACAGGCTTGTCTGAGCCTTGCAGGCAGAGCACTCCAGTCACAGGGGAGGCTCTCCTCACCACGGCATGCCTGTCCCAGCGCGCGCTGCAGCTGGAACACCACCGCTCGGTCACCCTTCCCCATACGCATTTGAGGTTTTGGCAGAAATGGGTCGGCACTCAGTAGGGAGTTCTTTGGCTCTGGGTCGTCGTCCTGAACATACTGTGGCCCAGGGAGAGCTCAGCAGAATGTCTGTATTTCCTATGCAGCTTGGTCCGCCTTGCTGCTGTGATGGCAAAATGGGTTCTGTGTCCTCCCTTTAGTCAAAAGAACCTGTTCTCGGAGGTTTGAACAGCTTCTTGGGGAAGTCCTGTGAGCAGCAGAATTGCTTTCATTGCCAAACCCCTGGTCCCAATCTCTGCCTTGTCGTCAGGGTCTCCTGGACTGCACGGCTGGCACCTTGGCACGCCAGTGGGAGGCCGGGTAGGGAGGGGGAGGACTGCCCCCTTGGACATTGCCATGGGATTGTCTTAGCCCTAGCGCCCTGTTACTGCATTCGGCCATGGAAAGAGGAGAGCAGGCTCCCTATGCTGCAGGGCACTGGTTAATTGTATGCAGGGCCTCACCTCCTGTTCTCCACAGAGCTGGGACCTGGTGCAACAGACACAGAACTACCTGAAGCTGCTGATCTCACTCATCAATGGGGACGGTAGGTTTGCTCCTTCTCTGCACTCCCAGCTGGCTCTGTGGCCAGAGCGTATGGGCTTTCTCCAGGGCACTAACACTGCCACTCGCCAGACCTGTTAGAGAACGTGACTTTCTCTTCCTGCCCCTTGTGGGGTGTTGTCCTGGACTTCAGTACTCAAAGGGGAGTCCTGTTACCCAGGAAAATCCCAACCCTTGGACGAGGCCTCTCCTTCCCCACTGGCTGGGCGGCTGATTATGTAAAAATCAAATTGTCAAAGGCCAAGGTCCCATTTTTCCCCAAAGTGACTTAGACCCCAGCTCTGAGCCTCCCTGGTGCGATGAGATGGGCTCCAAGTCACTTTGGTGCTTTTGAAAGCTGTGCACTAAGACTAGGGTTTGTAGAAGCTGAAGGGAAAAGCCTGCTGTTCCTGTCTTGCTGGGGCCGTTTCTCTGGGTTTGGCCTCAGAAGGGGCTCCAAAAGGGTCTCCTTTTATCTGTTTCATTTTCATTCTCTTCTTGCCAAGCCCCTCAGCTCTGGGCTGGTGGCATGTAGATCTACAGCAATGTCAGACACTGCACTCAACACTCGCAGAGTTAGATCCATCAGATCGCTGCCAACACCCTCACAGCCTAGGAGGAGCCAGGGGTGACTTAGCAGCCAAGTTGTGTGCTGCTGCCACGTGGCCTATGCCCTGTGAACAATCTATATAATGGGGGTGGTGGTGGCCTGTTCTTGGCCACTCTGCTCTGTGGAGATGTCGTCACATCTCTGGGGTGAAAGGGGACCTGCTGCTCCTGGAGCCGAGGTCTAGCTCATTCAGACTGGGAAAAGGATGGAAATGCTCACCCCAGGCAGGCTTGGTGCTTTGATTGGTGAGCGGCTGGGGAGGTGTAACCGGGCAGCTCTAGGCTGTGGGCCGGCTGGTCCCCGCCATGGAGATTCCTTACTCCTAGCAGCTGGGGAGACTAGGATTGCAGCAGTTTGGCGTGACATGCTGAATCCAGGGACCTTCCAAGTCCTTCATTCTGGAGACAGCCCTCTCCCAAGAGGACGTTCTAGCTAGTAAGGCCAGCTGTGCTCCCCCTTCCCTCCCCTGCAAACAGCCCTCGGTGTTGCAGGGGGGAGGCATGCAGTGAATCACAGGGATAGTGCAAGTAACCCTCCATTCTCCTTACAAAGCTCTCTCTCTCTCCCTCTCCTTCCCGCCCCTGGAGCAGATGACAGCGGGCTTCTGGTACACTGTATATCCGGCTGGGACCGAACCCCTCTCTTCGTCGCCCTCCTGCGCCTCTCCTTGTGGGCCGTGAGTACGGAACGGACGTGCTGCGCCTCGGGGAGTGACAGCTTGGGGGTGGCTGAGCAGCCATGTGACCCAAAGAGGGTGAAGCGCAGTTGCTGTTCCTAGCTACCAGAGCAGCGTCTGGAGAGGGGGGTGGGAATGGGCTCTGGAGGCACAGCCTGGTGTGCTGGCCTGTACTGAGGCCCAGTGTTCCCAGGGGGAAGGTAAGGCACCTGCAGCTCTGCATTAGGGCTGCATCTGCACTTGCAGCCTGGCGAGAAACTGCTTTGGACGTGAGATGCCATGTAACGGAGATGGGGGCAGAGCCAGCTGGACGTCCCCCTTTGTGGTGCTGGGAGATGCTCTCCTTGGCAGTTCCCAGTGGGGCTTGCACCCTCAGCCCCAGTTCTAGTGGCTGCTGCATCCCTGAGGCTTCCCTCCTCTTTCCTTTCCAGGATGGGCTTATCCACGCCTCGCTGGAGCCTGCGGAGATTCTTTACCTGACAGTGGCCTATGACTGGTTCCTTTTCGGGTAGGTTCGCTGAGAGGTGCAGACACTGCCCAGGGCTGGGCAGGCTCTCAGAGGGGCCCTCTCATGGTCTGGTTAGGGGGTGACCTGCTTGGGTTGAGGGGATGGCTTTCCTCGGGGGACTTGGCACATCTGCTTTGAGCTGCTTGCCGCCTTGCTGGGTGGGAAGGGCTTGTGCAGGTTCTGCCCGACGCCTATGGCCGCTGCCTGTGCCTGACAGCTCATGGCCTGGTCCTTCACTGCTCGTTCTCGTTCCTACTTTGTGATCTCCTTTCCCTTGCTCTCTTTCCAGGCACATGTTGGTTGATCGGCTCAGTAAAGGAGAAGAGGTGAGTGGCCCTGCAGGAGGCAGTAGGCAAGCAGGGCCTGAGTGCAGTACTCTGCCACTAGGCAGCAGGCTCAAGGTAGCAGCAGTCTTTGCAGCTCAGCGTCTCATTGACCTGGCTGGGCATCCATTGTAGCCAGGCCTTGGCGGTATTAGGACTGTACCTTGCGTCTGCTCCTTCCTTCCGTGAAGGAACGCTGTCCCAGGGCCCAAGGACTGAATGTGGGTGGATTCGATCTTGTAATCCCGACGTGTCTGCTGTCAGTGCAGCAGGGCCTTCCTTACCTCATCTCGGACAACATGCCGGGAGATATAACGGTTCGCTTCAGCTCTGAGAAGGGACACTTCAGGCTTCTGAATTCAGAGTGCCAAAACATAGTTGAGAAGTTGTTCACAAACTGGGTGGCTAACCCGCACGCCTCTCTGCGGGGCGCTCTGGCACCGAGGGGTTCATAGCTGCTATTTAGCTGTCAGAGCTGTGGGTTGATGCACCACAGTCCTGAGGCTTGTGATCCTTGCAGATAAGCTGTCCTGTTGCTGTCATTCTGGCAAGAGACATTTGTGTCGGGCGGTGGGAGCTGTGTGGGGCGCAGCCAGATCAGAGAGCAGACTGTGCCGTGATACTTGGTGTTGGGGAGATCACTGCTCTCCTGAGCGTCCCTGTTCTGCTGCTGGGTGACCCTCACCCTCTGGTGCTGCATTGGCAAAGACACAGGACCTGTCCTGGCCCTTCTCGACTTGGGTGGGCCTTGTGTGAAGGTCCTTGGTTAAGAGCTTTCTGACATGCACTCGCCCAGCTGGCCCGTTCGGTGGGCAAGGGAACCTCCCTTGGCCAGGGAAGGATGGTGGTACCACACCTCGGGGCGAGCTTCCACACTCAGATCCAGGGCAAGCCAGCAGAGGGCTCTGAAACAGAAGGCCCAAAACGTGACTCTGACTAATGCTGAACTCTCTGGTGGTAGCTGCAGGTGCATTGCTGCCCCCTCCCCTCAGCATCCTCCCCCCCATTAAAATAAGAGGCTGCAGCCCCTGTGGATTCTTCTCAAGCTTCTCTTCTCTCTCCCTTTGCGCAGATTTTCTTTTTCTGCTTCAATTTTCTGAAGCACATCACCTCTGAGGAGTTCTCTGCTGTGAAGCTGCAGAGGTAAGGAGCTTGTGCTGGCTGCAGCCTGGACTAAAGAGCCAAGCAACTCGTTAGTGCTGTTACCATGGGGAGATGGAAGCCCTGGTGTCCTGGCCCAATTTCCCTTAATTTATTCTGCACTCAGAAGGCTGAAGAATGGGGCCAAGGCTTGTGAGGTGCGCACGTCACGCTCGGAAAAGCTGCCCAGGCTGAAATGTGCTCTCAGCTGAATGAAGTGTCTGTGGGGTCCATTAGCCTGGCTGAGTCAATGGCCGAGAGGGCTCTGACTCGCCTTCTGGCCACGCAGCAAGTCCCGTCTGTGCTGCTGTAAGAGAAGGGCCTCGGGGGAGCAGAGAGGGCTGGACAATAGCCCCTCGGTGTGTAGGGATGGCAGGAATCCAGCCCCTCCCTGGAGGAGGCTTCTAACAGCTTTAACTAAACCTCTCTGCATAGAGTTTTGCCGGGTCCCTCCAAGCTGCAGGAGCTGAGCGCTCTCCTCCCTTCCCACCCCAGCTGGGAGTTGGGGGTAGAAGCACGTCCGTTACCATCACCCCAGCCAGGGACTGCTCCGTGTCGGCTCCTCTGGAAGGGGAACGTTGGGACCCACAGCACTGCAAACACCAGTTCTGTCACGGGCCAGGCGAGCAGAGGGACAAGCCCCATTCTATTTGCCATCCTTTGCTGCTGTGACAGAAGGCAGCGGGCATGCGGGCTGGGGACAGGTCGAGGGTCAGTTAGTGCTCTGAGATCCCTAAACTGCACGGGCCCCTCTCCACTGGCCTGGCCTGGCAGGATGGCAGCAGACGTCCCGTAGTTCTGATCCTGTGTAACCGTTTCCCATTCCCCCCAGGAGGAAGAGCCTGCTGCCTGGCTTCACGGTGGAAGAAATCTGCATGCTCAGTGAGTGCTGTCCCGGAACGCCGGCCACTCCCCCGGGTCGAGTGCAGAGCTTGGGGCTGAATGGGTTTCTGGGGGAAGTGCCACGAGCTGTTGGTTTCGTTCTCCACTCCACACGCGTGAAGCCCTCGGGCACCAGCAAGGATGGGGGTGGGAAGTAGGATGGGGATGCGGCTAATCAAAGGCTCCCAGGCTTGGTTTCAGTCTGCTCCTGTCTTCCTTCTTGCAGAGCAGAGGGATCGGGGCAGCACCACGAGCCTGAGCAGTGACTTCTCCCTAGTGCTGGAGAGTTCACCAGGAGCAGCTGGGAGCTTCACCTCTGAGGCTGTGGAGCTGATGCCAGCTGGCGCACAGACCCAGGCCGCTTGGTAAGAAGCCACCCAAGCACCTGGCCAGGGCATAGCAGGCAGGGGCAGGTTCAAGCTGTTGCCTTGTGCAGTGCTCAGAAGGTGGCGTATTGAGCAGGGAGTTGCCATCCCCTCGCTGAGCGCCCGCTCCATGTGGCACAGGCACCAGCAGGACACTGCAGAGAGCGAAGGAAGGAATTCAGCTGGAGCACTAACCCGGGCCCGTGCTACAGAGCTCCAGGGCCTTCGGTTCCAGGAGGTACTGAGAATGCTCCTGCCGTGCGCTTCCGCGGGAGGCCTTCGCCTACAGCCTGGCCCATGATCTGAGGACAGAGCAGCTGATCGCATGGGCTGGGCCTGCTTTGTTTCTGAAATGCACTTAAATCACATCAAAGCCTGTTGTTTCTTGCCGTCTGGCCTGCTGTGGAGCTGCGGGTCCGTTTGCCCCAGTGGTTCCATACGTGGAGTGGCTTTCTTACTTCCCATTAGTGACTCTGCATCTCCCAGGGGACTTGGGAGAAGAATGATCACTCCAAAAGCAGGACTTCTTGGAGCAGTCCTCGCTCCCCGTGCACCCAGCTGGCGTCTCCTCCCACTTCCGCAGTGTGGAGGTGCCAGCTGGAGCCAGGGTTAACCTTGTACAGGGGCTGCCCAAGCTAATAGCTGTCACTATAAAGCCAAGTACTGGCCTGGGGGCTGAAGCTGGCCAGACAGTTGGTTACTGCTCTTGGAGATGGCTCCAAAAAAGATTGCAAAACCCTAACCACTCCTCCTTAAAAGTGACAGGAGAGAGTCTCTCCTAGGTCTGGTTACCCCTGTGGCTGATGTGAAGCCACAGTGGTGAAACTGGGGTCAGGAAAGGGGCTGTATCTGGCAGACTCAATATTGTAGGGGCAGCTGGGTTTGGGGATTTCAGAGCCTTTCTCTGGGGTTGCCCCTCTGAGTTTAATTTCTTTCGCTCCTCTCCCTAAACGCAAGCAGCGATGCTACTTTGTGCCGCAATTATTTTAAATTAAATCTGGGCTGTGCTTGGGACATCTGGAAATGCTCTGGGGGAGAGTAACCTGCGGCACGCTTCTGGCAGCCCAGGCTTCCTCATATCTTGTGCAGGGAAATGTTTAACGAACCTGGGGACCATGAGAGCAGGGATGAGACGGCTGAAACAGTGCACTTGCATACCTGACCTAGTGCAGGGTCACCTCTAACATGAGCGACTGTCTGTCCACAGCGAACCGATCGCGACAAGTACAAAGCAGTCCCCCCACCCCAGGGCTCTGGGTAATGGCCACTACTTCATAGGACCCACAATGGTAGGCCACAGACTCAAAACCTGAATAGCATTGTTCCTCCCCCTGGCGCTTCCTGTTGAAGCAAAACATGGACTAGCCAGGATGCATTGGGAAGGCTAGAGGAGGAAACAGCTGCTGTTCTTGTGGGGCTGACTCACACTTGTGTATTTTTGCTTCACTCACTTACTGTGGGTGCCGGGGGGCTGGGGCGTTGCTGTGGGTGCCAAACAATTCCATGTACATGCGTTCTGCCAAACGCGCAGGCTCTCCTTGCTTAGGTAGACACTGAGATCCCTGCAGGTTACGCAGGGAGGAATGTTGGCAGAGTGCTGACCTGAGGTCCATAACACGTCGTTAGCAGCTGAGGGGTGGGACATTTGAGGCCTGGTCTAGACTAAACGTTTAGAGCAACATAAATACTTGCTCAGAGGTGTGAAAAAACTGAGCACTGTCGCTGTGCCTGCCTAACCCCAGCGTAGAGACAGCTCCGTCGACAGAAGAATGCTTCTCCACCTAGCTACTGCCTCTCGGGAGGTGGAGTTCCTCCAGCATTGGAAAAACCCTTCCATGGCTGTACAGCAGCATTGCTGGGGCACCTCAGCCCCCGTGGTGCAGACAAGCCCTTGCGGGGTGAAGGGAGGATATAGTGTTCTCCTCCTCTGTACACAGAGCTGGGTTTAGCTGTGGAGTCTCCGGTGTCTGTACTTGTGGCCTCTCTGGAGGCCAGGATGGCTACACTAGCTTGTAGGGGGCCTTGGATTTAAAACCTTCCTTCAGGGCTCTGCCTGCCCCAGTTCTTGTCACCATATTGGGCATTTCATTAGCTCTGCTGGTTTGCACTGAGGACAACACTGCAGTGCTAGCAAGAGGGTAAGGGCTAGAGCGGGCTTTGGCCAACTGCTTGTAGTTTGGGAGAACGGAGCTAGTGCTCCTCCCAGAAAATCCTTGGTGTCTGAGGAGAACCCTGATTGACTTGCAAGGCTGGGGGATCAGTTCATAACTCTCCCTCCATTGGCAGGCATGTAAGGGAAGCAGTAATGGCTTTCAGCCAGGAGGCGGTGGTGGGCAGCAAAACTGTACAGGAGTTTGGAGTGTGGTATGACTAGAAGAGGGTCAATGCAGAGACATGCCAGCCATGTAGGGAGAGCAGCCCTGTCTCTAGAGCTGTGATGTGACTGCACCCTTCAGTGGGGGCCCCAAACGGAGGAGTGACAGCGATCAGAGGCCTGGCACAGCTGGCTGACTTGTCAAGAAAGATTGAAGGGACGCAGAGGTTCTGTCCTCTCAGATCCCTCCCCTCCAGCTGCTTACACAGTTTTATTCACCTGGGTATGTCTACACTGCTGTGAAACCCCCACCGCTGGCCTGCGTTGGCTGACTCCGGCTCTTAGGGAAGTAAAATTGCAGCATAGACGTTTGGGCTCAGTCTGCAGCCCAAGCTCTGGGTCCCCAAGAGGAGGGAGGGGTCCCTGTGCCCAAATGTCTACACGTCAATTTTACAGCCCCGCAGGCTGAGTCAGCTGCCACGATCCAGCTGCAAGTGTTTCATTGCAGTGCAGACATACCCTTCATGACAGCACTGCACGCGTCTGTGGGTGTTCACTGGAGTCGTCTTTCCCCAGAGACATGCTGGGAGGCCTGGCGCTTGGGGCATGTTAAAATTAGGTGGGACAGAACATTAGAATGTGCCCGTATGGGCCGATCCTGCCCTGGCCCCAGGCGATGGGCCAGAATGGCCTCTTGCTCCCTCTCTTCTCTGACGTGCCGCACTCCAGAAGTGTGAGCTGGCTCGGGGGGGCGAGAGCTCAGCAGATGCTAGGGGCAGGGCACATCTGTCTGGCAGACTCTGCTGGTGCAGTTACACCTGACTAATTCGTCCTCCTGGGCTCGGCGGGAGCTGAATCTCTGTGTGTGTGGGGGGGGCGCAGAATCTCTGCCCTGACATGGAATGGCTTCCTGCATGGGGAAGCTGACTTCTCACCCAGGGCTCCTGTTGTCCTGCAGGAGGAAGAGCCGTACATCCTCTCCCCAAACGGTGCTCTGGAGCCGGACCCCACAGTCTGAAGACAGACCGCCTTACCAGGAAGCAAAGTCCTCTAGCTCCTCCTCCTCAAACCATTCTGACACCTTCCTGAGGGTTGGAAGCAGCCCACTGGAGGTCCCGAAACCCAGGTGAGGTGCACCAAAGCAGACCATTTCTTAGCAAAATGAAGGTCGGGTATAGGGAGCATGCTGCTCTGAAGACCTGGTGTGCAGTGGGTTCATAGACTGAAGCTCAGAAGGGGGCCATTATCTGTATAATACAGGCCAGAGAAATGCTCCCGGTGATTCTTGCCTCAGTCCATATGCACAAATAACGTAAGTGTGCGGAGGCAGAACTGGTGGTGGCGGTCCCACCTGACATGAACTGCGCGCCGGTCTCGGCCCCGCTGATTCAGTAAGTACAGGGTCTCTGGTCTCTCCCTCCTGCATGCTCAGCTCTCCCGGTGCTGGAAGTGTGCTCTGTGCTTGGAAGCAAGTGTTCAGTACGTGCACAGGAGACTTGAAGCGAAGTGTCATGTGGAGCAGGGGGGTGGGGACCTGCTCCAACTGAACTGCACCCATTGACATCTGAGTCTGTTCCCCTGAACCCCTGGGCGCCCCGGCAGAGGAAGATGTAATCGCGAAGAGCGGGCGGTCAGGCTTGCACAGCGCAGGGGCTCTGAGCCTGTGCGTCGGGCTGTGTGGTGGCTGTGCGTTCCCACAGTGCAGGGGGGCGTGGTGAGAACCCAGGGAAGCCAGGAGATTAGCCAGAACACAGGCTAAAACTTGGGCTAAAACCAAGTGAGTTGCTTTCCATAACGAAGAGCATTCCAGCAGCCTCTGGAGTCCGATCACTGCCTTTGTGCAGCACCAGTGAGCTGGGGTACTAGGGAGGGGAGTCTGGGGAGCGAGGGATGGAGAGGAGCCTGCAGCGCCGACTCTGTGTGTTGAGGGCCAGTGAGAAAGAAGATGTTGTTAAGCCCTTGTTCACGATTACGTGGGGTTTCCTGCTGAGTTGTCGCTGGTGACTCCCGTCACAACAGCCGCCATTTAAATTGTATTGACCTCTCCTCAATCCAGAGAAACTGAAGGAAAACAGGTAGAGCCTTTAATTGCACTTGGTGTGTGTGTGGAGTCTGTGTTAAAGAGAGAAATCACTGACAGTCTCCGTAGCTCGTCTGAAGGGTCCTCTCTGCGCCGCAGGCAGTCATTTCGATTCTCTTGAGCTGCTGCTGCCGTTTTGTCTTGGAATGAACAGGCTCAAACGCCGGGAAGATAATGGTCCAAGGGGGGCAGGGGAATAGCAAAGAGAAATGCAGCTTCTGTCTCTTGATAGCTGCTTTTGCTTGCAACCTCCCTGCTGGAGTAACAGGCCCAGCGTAGCCCCTCACTGACACGGCTAAGCTGCCTCTCCAGTCACAGGCTCCCAGTCTGCTGTGAAAGGAGGCGCTGTCTTGGCAACTCAGCCAGACTTTTTGCCTCTGTCTTATAAGAGGGGAAGGAAGAGAAACAAGGTGGGGGAAGGAAAAGTGACCCCGGGGAGGGATGACAGCAGGACCCCAGTGTTCAGGATTTAGCAGAAGCCAGTGCAGCTAATGTCCCTCCCTGAGTCTGTCTGGTTAGGATGCCTTTCCCACTCGGGGTGAACACCCAAGAGAGTCGTGCTGGATTCTGGGGTCCTAAGAGATGGCTGGGGAGAGGCAGTAGCAGCCAGTAGGGTAAAGTTTGTTCTGTCCATCCATAGGCCCTGCTGGTAGCTCTTTCTCTGCCCTGATAAACAGTGCCCAAGAAGGGGTGGCAGTCTCATGCCGTTAACTGGGACCAAGCAGAAGTATACCGAGATTTCCACTAGGAACATTCCTCCCCTTCCTAGAGTCTTCCAGCTCGTCGTTACGCTGATCCGTGACTTCCCCAGGAACTCTGAGCACAGCTCTTCTAACGTGACAAGTCCTGTTCATACTGGCTCCAGCCCTGGCTGCCTCGTGGAGACAGTTGTGTGTAATGGGCTGAGTTGGACTCTCATTCCCTTGGACAATTGGAATATACAGGCTCCCAGCAGCTCCAGCACAGAGTAGAGATGTGCTTCCCTTGATACAGAAGCAGCTTGGATTTCCTCTCCACCCATGTGTCCCCGAAAGCCGGCTGTAAGCTCATGGCTGGGTGACCCTAGGAAAGGGGTGCAGTTGGCAGGACAGCAGTTACACTGCTCCAGCTCCCACTTCTCTGCTGAATCCAGCCACCCCTTGGTCCATCTACAGCCTTCCGTCCTTCTCCAGGGATTGAGCTGATCACTCCTGGGCGAGCTGGGAGCATGGTCCTAATTAGAGACTGACATGGCTGGGGTGAGGAAGGGATTGTATCACCCCACTCAGCACTGCTAGTGCCTCCTCTCTGGCTACGTGAATCCAGGTCACATCCAGTCACAGAGGGTCTATCACAATCTCCAGCTGAAGTTCTACCTGGGGTCGGGGGGGAACATACATTTGAATGCAAAATAGGCAATATTATTATTTCCTATATAGTGTGTTTCATCAGTAGATCTCAAAGTGCTTCCCACTCATCAGTGTATTTATCCCTACACCGCCCTGTGAGATGGGAGAACATGACTAGCCCCGTTGTACAGAGAAGCTAGGTGACTTGCCCCAGGTCTCCCATGGCCCAGGCCAACACCCTACCCACTGACCTGTCCATCCAGCATCACTGTGCTGGAGGGAGAGGGGCATATGTGAGAGTGGAGCAAGGAGGAAGCCCTTTCCCTTGGCCCCTTACGAACAGACACTTGGCTGGAGTGTCCTCACGGGAGCGGCTGGAGTCCACTAGCTGACCATGCTGCCAGAAATGCTCTGGTCTCTACAGCTGGAGGCTGGTTCCTGGGGAAGGTCTAAACTGAGGAAACAACTGCACTTGACTATCTAATCCTCTGGCCATGTGGTCATGGCAACAAAACACTTAGCCACAGCGGCAGCAGCAGCCGGGGAAACATGGACTGTTCCTAGTGGGCCAAGAGCACTTCAAGCGGCTAATCCCAGTTGTTCCAGGTGCAGCCAGCGTGGAGAGCAGAGTAATGCCGATGTGGAAGGGGAAGGGCACCTGAGCGGGATACCTAAAGGTTGAACACCAGGATGACCCTTTAGGTGTTTCCACTGGGGCATCCTAGAAGGAAATGTTGCATATGTGACACTTGGCCAGTGTGTGGGCTTCTCCAGGGGCTGGAGCACAAGAGGTTTGCCCTGGAGTTTCTGTCAGACTAATAATGTGATTAGTGGCCCATGACCCAGTCCAAAGGCAGAGTCAGATGTCAGGTCTCTGGTTGACAGAAAACCACTTCCCACCACATCTCTGCATAGGCTGTGTCCCAAACTTGCTAGGCATTTGCTGAGCAGGGCACGATGATCTCGCCAGCTGAATGCTTTGTGTCTAGAAAGCAACACAAGTTGCCTCTAACTCCTTGTGCCTGTGTGGACTGAGCTGTAGATACAGTGCCCTGAAGCTCATGTTTCACACTACTCCTGGGAGTAGTAGCCAGTGAAGTTGCAGAAAAATGCAGTGTGTCTGCGTTGGGGCATTGACTCGCGAGCACACACACCATGACGCTAGATTAGCAAACGGAACAAACGTTGCCTGTGCTTTTGTTAAGTCTATTAACCAACCCTGGTGTGCTGTGTTCTGTCAAGAGGCAAGGAATCCAGCCCCGGGGTCTTCTGGTGGCTGTGTGAATCACAGGAAACGCTAGCTCTTTAAATGCTGCTGCAGCCAGTTCAATAATGTGCTCTGACTGCAAAGAGCAGCTCCCCAATGGGTGTGGCTACTCAGTGGGATCTGTGGATGCTGTAGTTGGTGACCATGTATTGGGACATTTTTCTCACAGTTGCTTTGAGGTGCTTGGTAGCTAGAGGTTTTGCCATGTCTGTGCTGGGCATCTGTCATTCTCTATGTCCTAAAGAGAAACCAGGCCCAAAGCTTGCCAGGACCAGGACTGAAACACCTGACTGCAGAAGGAAATGAGGAGTCTTTCCAGAACTGAAGCTCTGATTATGCTACAAATTGAACTGATACTGTGGCGAAAAGTGTGACGTTGCCAAGGCCCTGACTGAGGTCCCAGAAGACTGGAGAAGGGCTAACGTTGTGCCCATCTTTAAAAAGGGGGGAAAGGAGGAGCCAGGGAACTACAGACCAGTCAGCCTGACTTTGATACCTGGGAAGCTACGAGAGCCATGTATAAAACATTCCATTTGCAAATACCTGGAGGATGGAGGGTGATCACTAGCAGCCAGCATGGATTTACCTAGAACAAATCCTGCCAAACCAGCTGGATTTCCTTCTTTGAGAGGATGACTGGTTTGGTGAATAGGGGGAATGCAGTGGACATAATATACCTGGACATCAGCAAGGCTTTGGACACAGTCCCACATGACATTCTGATAAGTAAGCTGGAGAAAAGCAGGCTCGACAGAACTACCGTTAAGTGGATACATAATTAGTTAAACAACCGCAAACAGAGAGTAACTATTAATGGAATGATGTGGGGTTCCTCAGGGATCTGGTCTGGGTCTGGTGTTGTTTAACATCTTTATTAATGACCTGGGTGTAGAAATAGAGAGCAGACTGATCAAGTTTGCAGATGAGACAAAACGGGGGGGGAGTTGCCAACACTTGGGAGGATGGAGCTAAAATTCAGAGGGATCTTGATAAGTTGGAGAACTGGACTATAGACAACAAAATGAAATTCAACAAAGACAAATGTGAGGTGCTACGCTTAGGGAAGAAAAAACAAATGCACAAATACAGACTGGGGGATAACTGGCTTGGCAGCAGCACTGCTGAAAAGGATCTGGGAGTTGTGGTGGATCACAGCCTCCGCATAAGTCAGCAACGCGATGCTGTTGCAAAAAAAGGCAAATGCAATTTTAGGTTGCATGAACAGAAGCATAGCATGCAAGTCATGGGAGGTGGTAGTATCCTTCTATTCAGCGCTGGTTAGACCTCAGCTGGAGTAGTGGTGTTTAACTTTGGTCACCAATGTATAGAAAGGATGTACAGAAATTGGAAAGGATCCAGAGGCGAGCGACAAAGATGATCAAAGGGAAGGAATGCAGCCATACGAGCAAAGGCTGAAGGAACTGGGTATGGTTAGTCTGGAAAAGAGGAAA